TAATCTGCACATCCAACCACCTTGCCTCAGATGTTTGTTCACGATCTATGGTGATAATCTGCACATCCAACGACCTTGCCTTTGGGAATACCCATAGACTGCAATCACTCAGATTAAAAACTCTGGTTCTCTTGTTGTAATTCAGAGTGTGTTAACTTGCAAATGCAAATGACCCCTAAAATTGACCCATTCTGTAAAGAAGGACATTCCAGCACAAAGTTATTTATTCTTTTACAATAAAAGCGTACAGGGCATCAAATTATGGCGTTGGAAGAAAGTGATATCTGTATCGTTAAATTGTATTGATAAAGCGAGGAAAGACGTGATTTCAATATATAAAAAACAGGAGATTCCACTAACGGCTATCATTTGCACACAAGAGATCGTGAAAATAGTTAAAAAGCTTATCCCAGGAAATATTTCAAGAACACAGTGTTCCATTACAACTAAAATAGAAACCTCCTTCGGAACGTAAAACAAGACAATTACAGGGATTTAAGTCTGCGAAAATGATAGGAGGACCGTGTCCATAAATATCTTACTAGGTTTATAGTTAAATCTAAGACCAATTTTTGAAAGTTATACAAGCAGTATCTGACATGTGATAAAATTAAGGGAATTAGATTATCATATTGGATGAAGTATGTGACTACTTGTGGATGATTCGTTGTTATCATGGCAGTGGTACAAGATTCAGTAAACAGAGTGTGTCTCGAAAGCTCTTCCAGTGGATTTATGGTGATTGCATGTTCAGCATTAATGATAAGTTGATATTTCAAAAGTTTGAGTAAAATACCAAAGTGAACTCTGCATACCATCAGATTATAACACTATGAAATCCATCTTTCTATGGATGTGATGCTAAAAAAGACATGGCTATATTAAAACAGAGCATCTTGTCATCCATCCAAGTCAACATTCTAGTCCCTCCACAAAATACAAAAATAAATGGAAATATAGGCAATACCAGTCACAGACATCTTTCATGGACTTCTGTGCCTTTGCTCTCAAACAAGACTTTGGAAGTAATCACTCACGTATGGTTGTTGGACCTTGGAAACAATGTACAGAGGAGAGGAAGAAAACTGACCCCAGTATATTGCACAAGAGTTTCCTGCTACTGTTGTTAAGTCGCAAAGAGCTACCTGTGTTCTGCTCACCACAGATACCAAAACCCGATTTTTGTTATTATAAGCCCCCCAGACTTACCGCTCAGCCAACGTGGGGCAAACTTGTTCTGAAATACAAATTTCGCTACAGAACAGTAGTCCATAACCATGGATGGCCATCGCATACATAGAAAACCATTGGTTCTGGAAGAAGGGATATTAGTCCAAAACACCTGTTGCTCTGTCGTCACTAAAGATCGTGAACATTCCGTTGTTTGTGCCTAAGTTATAGTTGTTTATGCCCCTTAGGCATAAACAACTGTAACTTAGGCATAAACAACTGTAACTTAAGTCATTATGTTTTTGATATGAAGTCATTATGTTTTTGATGTGAAGTCATTATGTTTTTGACACGTAGTCATTATGTTTTTGATATGAAGTCATTATGTTTTTGATATGAAGTCATTATATTTTTGATGTTTGGTCATTATGTTTTTGATGTGAAGTCATTATATATTTGATATGAAGTCATTATATTTTTGATGTGAAGTCATTATGTTTTTGATATGAAGTAAAACGGTTTAGATTTGTTTTGCTTCCACTCAATTAGAACACATAAGTTAATTATCAGTACTTATAATAGATTTGTTTTAAACATCTAATTCAGGTTTCCTCTAGTGTTTATACATCCTTGTGGAAAAGAACGTGTTTTAATGCTTTCACCAAACTGCCTTTATATTGATATGATCTTAGTTAACCTTCATAAACTCTACGTAAGACTGGTATCTCACATATTGAAACATTTGTTGAAATAAAAACGCTTCAAGTTTTATATAGGTAATTAGGTTTTCAGATTAATTGTTTAAAATTATAGGTAACCGTTTATTGTAATCTTGAAATATAAGACAAACGAAAATCGAACAGAGGTAATTTGCGAAAAGGGCATTGTGTGTATGCAGTATAACATGGTTTTTAAGCATTCTACATTCTGAACGAAACTTATCAATCTTAATGTGCGTGATGACATTTGTTTCCTTAGAACAAATAGTTTTTAAAGATATAATCAATTTAAATATGACGTGTTACTTAATAAGCACCTATATCGTAATTAACTGATTTCAAGTAAACTAATCATTCTACCATTCTCTGTGATTTCTTTTCAAGGAAACTACACCATCCTCATTTCAACATTTATATTCAAGCGCCGCCTTACGGGGATTTTGCTCAACACCTATATTCCTAGTGGATTAGTTGTCGTCCTCTGTTGGCTATCGTTTTGGCTGGATGTCGATGCAGTGCCAGCTCGGGTAACCATGGGAGTTACATCCCTTCTGATCTTGTCAACTCAAGTCATTCAGAGTCAATACTATTTACCACCAGTGGATTACGCCACTTCTTTAGATATTTGGCTTCTGGGTTGCATGGTGATGGTGTTTGGCTCTTTAGTTGAGTATTCATTTGCTTACCAGTATGCTAAACGTCAGCTAAAGGTTTGTATTGCTATAGTGATAAGCATATTTAACAGAAAGAACATCAACTTTTTTATATTATAGTTTGCGTCTGGAATACTTCAAGACAGTATAAGTAATAGAAAAACATCATTTGGAAGAAAGATTAAAGAAAACAATGAAGATATACACGTATAATAATAAAAAAATCCATCTTCCAATATTTTTCTTTCATTAGAAGTTCCATAATCTGGCTAACAGACGCTAATCCGACTATTATCAATATCACGCTAATCCGACTATTATCAATATCACGCTAATCCGACTATTATCAATATCACGCTAATCCGACTATTATCAATATCACGCAGATCCGACTATTATCAATATCACGCTAATCCGACTATTATCAATATCACGCTAATCCGACTATTATCAATATCACGCTGATCCGACTATTATCAATATCACGCTAATCCGACTATTATCAATATCACGCTAATCCGACTATTTTCAATATCGACATTAATAAACGGGAAAACGAGTATGCATTAATCCATAAGCTTAAGCTATTTTATGCGGATTTGTTAGAAAATAAACCGATAAAAACTATACGGTAATTACTTCCAAAGTTAATCCAGATAAACATGTGACTACAGACAAAGATAAAAGCTAGCAAGATTGCTTGTCATGTCAGTGAATAAGATATTATCAAATGTCTTGATAGAAATGAATAGAAAACCCATAACCCGAGCGCTTTCGAAAGGTGGATCTTTCTTTTCTTCTTTCTTCTTCAGAGGCAAACTGGGGGCTAGCATCATGAATATTATCAAATGTGATATTATGTTCTTGTTTTATTTCTTGCCAGACACGGTAGGATTTCAATAAAAATTAAACTATGTATTATTGTAAGCTTTTAAATAGATACTTAACTGGGAATATAATGACATTGTGTTGCTGCTCTTTATCTTCCTGACTTATTACACAAACTTGGAAATATTTGGCTTGCTATAACTTAGGCACAAACAACTATAACTTAGGCATAAACAACTGTAACTTAGGCACAAACAACTATATACGTGTCAAAAACATAATGACTCACATCAAAAACATAATGACTTCATATCAAAAACATAATGACTTCACATCAAAAACATAATGACTCACATCAAAAGTATAATGACTTCATATCAAAAACATAATGACTTCACATCAAAAACATAATGACTCACATCAAAAGTATA